ACAATGTGCTGTCCAGATGCAGTTATTCTCTATGCTTGGCGGGGAGATCAATGGCAAACAATCCAATTTTTGTACTTTCATGCAATTATTTTCCACTAATCCGTAACATTAAAGATAGGTTTGTAATGCATTTGTCAGTGCAACTATTTGTGATTAACAGTTCACCCAGCTCTATTTCCATCTGCTGGTGGTACCCCTTTTGATTTGTTCGGGTCATGTCTGACCCCCCAGTCCAAGAGGTTCAACAGGTGCTCGCAGTTGAGAGGGATCTGCTTCAGTTCTCAGAGCTATCACACACATCACAAAGAAGGGCAAGAGTTGGATTCTCCTAGCGCCAGCTGACAGCTGAGTAACCCAAATCAAAGGACAGAGGCTGTGAAAGATGCTGCACAAGGTCAGACAATAGGAGAGCCAAGCCTGACAAGAGGTTAACTCACTAAAACTAAAAGGATCCCTTGCTAAAGACCTGTGAAGAGAAATGCTTATCTGATATCAAATACAGGCTGCTTGAATATACAAAGGAAGTGAATATACAAAGGAAGACAAAGGTCTAGTTTAAAAGGAATCATGCTAATGAAGACCATTTTGTTACACTGCAAAACCCATGAGAAGAATCAGCACCCAGTCAGTAAATCAAAAACTAAGAGGTTCCACAAACAAGTTATAAACCTTCAGAGTAATAACTTCATCTGTGTGTGCCATGTCTCTGGTTGGAATTTCCCCCATTGGATATAAACGGGAGGAAACCAGTACACGGCTTTTGCCCAAGGGTGCTCAAACCTGCAAGCAGAATGTTTCTGTGCTTTGCCTTCTTCTTGGTTACTTGAAAGGCAGTAACAAAAGTGAGAAGATGCCTGGGCGTACACATGCATGCAAACAGTTCAGATGACTATCAAACAGAGCAGTCAGGAAATTCAGTTAACTCTAAGGGAAACAGGTATTTCATCTGGATTCCTAAGTTAAAGAATACATACATAGAGAGAGAATATATATATGAGCTTCTTCCATTTTATTTTTGTAAAGGTGATCAAACCCAGACATGTAATTCTAGACAATGTTTGTCACTGATGGATTGGCTTTCTGAGGAAAGAGAGTATTGCTCAAGAGAGTTACTCTGATTTAATCTAGAACCGTTATTCACAGCCTCTCAGTTGACTGGGGACATTTTGGAGACTGAAAAGCATCGTCCTATGCTCAATATAGTAATATCATGTCTGGAACACAACACATAAACTAACATATACCAGGTGATAACCACTGCCCTCAAAGTGGAGAGTACACACGTGTGTGCCCAAGGGTATTTTTACACATTCAATTCATAAATGCCTTCACTCAGAAAACTGTCACTAAAATAATGCTAAGACACTCTGGATATTTACAGTAAAGACATAGAAAATAATCCTTTATGGACTTATGATTGCCTGCACCACCCGTTCTTTGTTATGGGGAGCGCATCTGGGAGTTCGTTATGTTACAAATGGAGAATGCTACAGAAAGAAAGAGGATGACACTGAATTCTTCTCCACTGTAAAGGTCTTGTTACTGACAATACAGCACGAGCAATTCCTAGGTTTGCTGAGCAGGAAGAGGTATGCTGTGGTCATCCAAATTCCAAGGGCTGGTACTTCCAAAACCAATCAAAAACCAAAACCCAGGACTGATTGTTGCTCCAAAAAAGCAACCTCTGGGATGGCGAAGGGGATTACGCTTGTTTCTCTGCTCTTTTCCAAACAGACTGCACCCAATAAACTGCTTATGTGTTTTCATAACCACTTCATACTGGAGGCTGCTGTTCACTGGCAGGAAAATCTCTTCAGATGAGAATGAAGAACAACTGAACACAGGCCCACAGAGACTTCCTGAAGAAAAATAAGCATCAAAAGTGATTCTAAGCTCCAAGGCAAGTGAACAAAAATTTGTCTGCCGTTGTACCAAAAGGAAAATGTCTCTGGAAGCATCCTCCTAAGCAAACTACACACATGCAAAACCACAACGCACACACCTTCCATGAACTCTGGATCCAACGGCTCGTTGCTATCAAATCTAAGAGGGAGACTGTCTCGGGTAACAGTGACAAGCACTTTGGCTAGCCCTTGTTGGTCCTGTTTCCTCCTCACTCAAACATAGGCTGAACTTGGAAGACAGAGCGTGATAAAGGTAAGGGAGCCGAGGAGGAATTCCCCGTGATGTGGGAGAACTGCAGATGGGGATAATAGCTGCTAATGCAAGACATTATACACAATGTAGGAAGGTGAGGAACAGGGTGACATCGAGTGAGGAAGGTTTCTGAATATACTTGTAAATCTGAAGCCATGTGTAGCTCTGAAACCTATTTAAGGAGCATACAAGTGCCACGTGCTCCCCACGATGTGCACTTGTCCACGTCTTAACAACAACCAGAGTTGCAGGCCCCCCTTCCCGTGAGCATGCCACTGTGTTTGAAAGGCACTGAACTCCCTGGTCTGCCTCTAACCGCACTGCCTTGTTTTAGCTTTAAGCACACTGCCTTGTTTTAGCTTTAAGCACACTGCCTTGTTTTAGCTTTAAGCACACTGCCTTGTTTTAGCTTTAAGCACACTGCCTTGTTTTAGCTTTAGCCACGCTGCCTTGTGTATGGCTCTAAGGTGTCACTGCAAAAATACCGAACTTTAATACTAAAATCTAATTCAGAATTTACAATGTACCCCATGGTGGATTTTGTAATTGTAAATATCCCGAAACAACTGGATCTCTGCAAACAGAAACAGCACTTACCTGCTCCTGTTAAATAACTCCTGCCTGGCGCTTATGATGAGTTGGACATAAAGACTGCTGGTTTACTCCAGCAGAAGCACAGTAAAAAAGGAGTATGAGCGATGTGCATAAACAGACCCAGAGGCAAACACCTGAGAAGGGTAAGAACTAATGAAGCTCAAGGCCCATGCTGGCATAAGAACAAATGGTGAGAAATTGGCCGTGAAGAAATTCAGGTTGGAAATGAAACAACCTGATGTTTTCAGATGAAAACTCACAAGAGGATGACCTGGCTGTTTGCAAGACCAAGGGCTTGAACACAGGTGACCCAGGATGCCTTGCACTTCCAGTCATACACCCTAAAAAGACAATGCATTTTAACACTCTTGCAAAATAACTATATGTTAAATCCTGGTCCAAATCTGCTCATCAAAAAAAATATGATATAGGCTATAAATAATAATAGAAAAATACCTATGAACTTGGATGTGAATGAATTTTCAAAGGTTCCCAAAATCCCCACGGATCCTCATTCAAGCTATCAAGACGATGAAGGTTCCTTTCCAGCAAGAGCTAGGGCTAAGGTAGACCTGCGTAAACCCCATTACAACAACAAACTCTGGGAGATCCTTTCACTTCTTATCAATATTCTTATTCCTACCCCTCAAAAATGAGGGGAAAGAAGTGCAGACGTGGCATCCCTCACTGTCACAGAACACAAATATCAACCTTCTTATCTTTGATGCCTTCTGGAATTTGTTTTAACTCCCCCCTGCCACAGAAGCTCAAGAAAATAATTCAGAAGAATAAGCAATGCACATAGAGAATACAGTAATCGGTCAACAGCCTGGCCCGTTCACTGGCCTCTTCTGCTGGCTTTGGAGAATTTTCCACAAGCATCTATTGACAACACACACAGATTTATCAAGTACATTTGGAACATCCAATGGTTTGCTTCATGGGGTGCTTTTATCCCAGCTGTAAAACCAGCAACCTCTGCATTTGGGGCATTCACACTAGGCAGGTGAACCACTTCCCCCTTGGAACACAGCGATTTGTACTTCTTAAGGTATCATAAAAAAGCTGTTCTATTGTCAGCTGAGCCTCCTTCAGATTCAAGTTTTAGTCTCAGCTTTTACTAATTCTAATGAATGGATTTTTAGGCATTAAATAAAACGGCATTTTATTTTGAGTGCCTTTTGCAATACTCAGCTTCAACTGAATCGCCATTACAATCGATCCAACATTTTTGCATTGTTTTGCGCTATTTCACCTGAAAAAAAAAACAAATTTCCTTTCTTTCCCTTCTCCCCTTTTACTGATAGTTTAAAACCCCCCCACAAACCACCCAAACAAAATGCCCAAATAAGGCTGCCCTTGCTAAATCACCTCCTCTTCCCCTCAAAACTCCATTATTTAGCACATAGGCAGCTCTTTAGCCATGAGCATCCAAGCAGTCCTACTGCAGGAAACCCTGACAACATCACAAACATCCTCTTTCTGGACAAAAGCATGCTTAAATATCGACAACAAAGAAAGAGGAGATGCCGATCGCTGCCCAGATAGAGCTCAAAGGTTCTGGACAGTAAAACCAAAGTTTACCCTTACTGGTGCTTTGCTTTATTAAAAACGTTACATTATTTGCAAGGACAAAAGATGCTGCTCATCAGGTAGGCAGGGGTTTTTCCAGCATACAAAAATCCTTTCAGTTTGAACTGCTGCTCCCACCATCATTCACTTTAGAACCAGGAATCAATTATTTACAAGGTTCTAGTCTGAAGTTATTAAAAACGGCTCTGTGCTTTCAAAATCCCTTTCCTGTCTTTCTCTCTGGAATGGAAAATACCTATTGCAACCAAGGTTTAATTGCAGCACACGGAGCGCGCTCACTAGCATGGCTTTTTTCTTTCCCCTCTATCCTGTTTTTATTTTCCGATTGAAATGCTGTGGGTAGCAAAGTAAAGATTCTACTGTTAAATACATATGTAATTGCATGCTGACATACGTACATATATTTGCCACTACGCCCGTGTTTATTGACTGGAAATTTCTAAGTAATTAGAAGGAAAAATAGGGGAAGCTTTTGCAGGTGGAAAGTGAACGTACTTACAGAAGCTCTAAGGAAATGATCCTTGTGCTAACACAATGCTATCACTGTTGAAGAAAATAGAGCAGATGTGATGACTCTATAAATATACACACTCTTCTCCCAGAATTCAGGACACTGTGCAGCACTGCATTCTCATCCTGCCTCATTTGATACTCACAGACAGACTGTAAGAAGGTTCCAGTATCACTGGCACTGACATCTTCCCTTGAAGATTCAATTTGGTTAAGTAAAAAACCTTCTCTCCCACAACCCTCTCCTTTTTCATGCGCCGTACGCTGTAGAGTCTGAAGCGAACCGCGTAATTCCCAATCATCTCTGACTCCACGTGATTGAATTTGAATGTCTCTGTGAAGACAGGGCACGGTCCCCGCTGGATGCTGGTTTTCGCTCTCTGCTTCTTTATAGGGAGAAGAACTAGGTGTACTTGCCACGAGCTTCCACCTGTCCTGCTGTAAGTGGGAATGTCTGTGACAGCTGTCACTGTCACCAAAAGCTTCTGTTCCTGTGAGTCATAGTCAAAAGTCACATCCAGTGTGCCGTATTTAGCTACTGGCTCAGGATCAAAAGGTTTAGGAAGCTGTGAAGACGATCCTCGAGCTGACATATCCTGAAGAGGAGGAAGAAAAAAAACCCAGCTATTTATTTATTTATTTATGGTATTCTATCATTAAAATTAGCATGGAAATATATGGCTTTCCCTAAGCAATACGAAGGGACTACAGTCATCTTATTCCTTTCAGACACCATGCACTTAAGAAAGGAGACAGCCGACTAGCAGCCAAGAAAAAATCAAAAGCCTTTACCTGGCCAATACTACCAAAAGCCAGGAGCCAACCAGACAGAGCTCACGTTAAACGGGGATCCACTTCTGATCTCTTCTCTACACCCAACATGTTAAAATGCAGATACATTTGCTACAAGATAGAACTGCCTCATTCCAGTGCCAGGATGCACGCATTTTGAAGTGAACGTTATTATTAGAGTGGTTTAAGAGCTGACTAGTGACTTGAGAGCACGGTGAGACCCGGCAGCGAATACAGGAATGCCAACACCTACTTGCTCGTGTAGCTCTTGCTGCACTCCACAAGCGTTCTATGAACGTGCCAAGAGTTATCATGGTTTTCTTAATGTACTTTTACTGGAACTGTGTAAGATGCACCTGTCCTGAACACACTTCCTGAACCTCCTGCAAACAGCATCAGCCCTGAAGCTGCACTTCAAACTTACAATTCAGAACGTTTATCGTCACTGCAAACTCTGAACAAAATACAGACGCCCTACATTGTCACAACAGGTAGTTTGATAGCTATACTGAAACACAAAATACCTACAAGTGCAGGTCAACCTACTGTTCATAAGCTATTCCAGGGATGTAAACCAAATGTATTTCCTGTGTATTATCAAAGATACACTGGCTCATGCTGGACGAGGCCTTGGGTGATATGGTTTAGTGTGAGGTGTCCCTGCCCATGGCAGGGGGGTTGGAACTGGATGATCTTAAGGTCCTTTCCAAGCCTAACTATTCTATGATTCTATGATTCTGTGTACATGAATAGATACCTTCTGGATTTAAAAATGTCAGGTTTTTATTTTAAACCAATTGCTACACTGCCATTGGGATCTGTTCCTCTGAAAACTTTATTCTTCAAGTTGTTGAGTGGCTATAAAAAAAAGCTGGCAGTATTCTCAGCTCTTATTGAGTATGCCTACATTAATGACTGGTGTGACACAAAACGGGAAGAACTAGGATTAGATTTGCTGCAATCTGTTAGGGTTTGAGGACCATATGTACACACGCTTCTTCCCCAGTAATGCAGATCATACAGATTCTGGTCCTAGCTCATCAGCAGGTACATACAGAGTGCTAGCTACCTGGAGGAAGTTGCAGCTGCACCTTCCATGTGTTGCATCAACACCACAGGTATGCAACATCAGCTTCCCAAGAGGTCTACTAAAATAGAAACAACTGCTGACACATCAGGACTGAGCCCTAATATGCACTTCAAATCTTCGGGTAAAAGAGGCAAAAGACAAATGTGTACCAAAAAGAGCCCCTTCTGCACATGACGTCACTAATGTAGCCTTACCACTGGTAGCAGTGCAGAAACGGGCTGTTAAAAGACTTGTCAAGGAAGCACATGTCAGAAAATAGGATTTCCTCATAGTAAAAATAAATGGGTATCTTTACAGTTCATAGCAGAGAAGTGGACCAAATCTCTATACTACCATTAACAATTTAAAAGAAGTCTTTGTAATGCTTCCTTCCCTCACCACCCCCCCCCCACCCCCCCCCAAAGATGTTTTACATTATGGGGTGTTACAAGCAGAAATCCTATTTTTAATAATTTCTAACAAACTAAACGAATGGGGTGCAATATCAGTGCTCGTGTAACTGTGCAGTCATCTTTAGGTAACAAAAGGATGCTGAGGAGCAGCATCACTGCATGACGCTTCAGAACACTCGGCTGGTTTTATTTACCTCTGGACTAAGGACAGCCGTGCTATCACTTGGTACATCCTCTTCGTATCCTTTGTTATGAAAGCTTTCTATTTCGTGTCCCGTGCTTCCCTCGCTTGGGCACTTATATGAACATCTTGGACTGTTGCTACATTGGGAGAATTCACATTTACTGTCTCCGACTTCTGAAGGCGTACAGGAAAGATGAGGAGAACCACTATCATCCTGGTATGGAGGCGGCTGCAGTTCATCCAGGGGAGGCGTTCTTCTCATCCTCTGAATGCAGTTTGCTGAGAAGAAGTGAGAATTCTTTACTTACTTTCTGCTTATTTACTGGTGAGACACATCTGTGGCAAATGGTCACTGTAAATAGCTGGAGAGAGTGGTTAAAAAACTAGAAATGCTCTTTTTTTTTTTTACTTTACATTTCAAATGAGATAAAAAAATACTACCGAAACGTCTGCGAAAAGATGGAAATGAATGATCTCGCAGATGAAAGAGATGCAGATAAAAGCCAAGTATTAAGTACACGGACAGAGTGGATTTTGTAAAGCAGATATAAATAAATAGAGCACAAATATGACATGACAAACATTCTAGGCTTGAATTGCAGGGATGCTTACCTTGCAAAAACCTGTGCGTCTCTTAAGTCAGATTCCGTGCAGGTGGAATGTAGACCAATTAAGGACACAAAATGCACTCCCTAAGGCCATGATATCAAACTTCTGATTACCTCCCATGAAGTTGCTCACCCAGGGAGATACTAAATTAAGCTCCGAAGACAGCTAAGGTGCCAACAAAGGCAGACATAAGCATTTTCACAGAAGTGAACTCTGCTCACTGGTGAATTTAACAAGTGAAGCAACGTCTCAGATTCTTTATTACTTGTTAAGGACAGCTAAAGGGTATGCATGTATCTGGTGTCTAGAAGTTAGACACCAGATCCGGTCACTAAAGACAGTGGAAAAGGGATCATGAGCAACCTTGTGCTTGGGATGAATACTTGACGCTGACCATCTCTGCTTCTCACACTAGACAGACAGAAACGTGGTTATACATCTCCTCAGAAAATAAACCTGATGCATGGCTATGGATACAGGAAGTTAATTCAAAATAATTATATTTCCATGTTTGATCTCATATTGTGCTAGGCAGCATTATTATAACCTCATATTGTGCTATGCAGCAATACACAGCTGCTAGACCTGGGAGGAGACAGCAAGGCATGCAGTAGTTGAAATAAAAGGAATACCAAGAACAGGTAAAAACCTGTATCCCATTTTGTGTACACCTTCTGTAGAGATTTTAATGAAGATTTCAATGCCCCTCACACACACAATTACCTCATACACAAAAGTTTTAAAGCACCACTGTTTTCTGGTGTCAGACACATCGCTTTCACCCACAGGAAAATCTGCCAAACGAGGAAGTTAACAAAAGTATTGACGTCAGAACAACATAAGCTTTGATTTCAGAGTCACCTAACAATGGAAAAGACCTTGTTTCCCACAAGAAAAAGGTGGTACGTTTTAGCTTCGTCATCAATTTTTTGTATATAGGATTGCCCTGTCTATGTCCTGAATTCTCATCAACAAAATAAACCTTTTGTCTGCTTCAGAGGCAACTGCCAATTGTTCAACCTGTCACACAAACAGAGTATGCTTAAGAGCTGCTCTTTATGGAACAAGGCTGGAAAGGCAATAGTATGGCTCTCCTGAGAAACGGTCTCAGGCTCCCTTTTGTTCTCCTTTCCTTCGGAAGTCTGGGCTGTATCCAACTGTGGATATACTGGAACATTTCACACCACCTGGGATGATGGAAACCCAAACCACCGTTGTTTCAGTGCATACAGTCCATGGGAAGGAAACCCAGCTACATTGGCTAGAAGGGAGCCGATGTGCACTGCAGATCCCCAGGGCTGGGCAACTGAAGGATAGTTTATTATGGAGAGTATGCTACTGCCTGGATAAATATACAACTGGGGAATGCAGGGCTTTCCTCTCTTTCACTGGGCTCCTAATGGAACCCCTCTTAGCTTTAGCTAAGGCAAATCAGTAATTAAAAAACACTCCTACAGATGACACTGCTGTCAAGAACCCTCTCTTCTTTGATAGACCCATCAGAGCCAGCCTGCCATTTAGAGCGAGTCCAAATTACTGTTACAGTGCACCTGTAAAAGGTCTTCTGCTGTTAGCTAGCCCAGTGCCACTAACACTTGAAACTCCAGTTCCAAGGGCTGGAAAGGAAAGCAGAGCAGGCAGGGGATCCTATACTTGAAACATAGTCATCAGTCTAGCAGATACACACAAAACCTTATATAAGAAATAGAGTGAAATGGGGCAGTCAGCATCTTGAAATCACCAGGCAGCAATAGTGAGAAAGCTTTATTTACAAAGCAGAGAGATGGGAAAGCACTTGGGTTTGGGGTTTTTGCTAAGGTTTTGGTGTTAGGTTTTTGCATTAGATAACTTGTGCCTATGAAACTAGGTAGACAAAGTTTTAGAATCTAAACTGCTACTTTAATCATAATAATCTCCTTTGACTCCCTATACCATGAAAACAGAGCTTCCTTTTCGTGATTTCTATAATGAAATACTCCAGGAAACATAGAGCAACAACATTTCTGCTCATCGGAGCTAAAAGGCAACAAACAGCCTTAACTGAGACAGTAACCACCAGGCAGTAGCTATGTAGTTTCTTTCTTTTCACCTGCAGTCAAGCCTGTGAAGACTTTTAAACTCCCAGCTTTTTGCATGATCTAACGCAAGGAAAGCGCGGCTGGGTAACTATCAACACATTATTGTCTTACAGGAGTAAATAAGTGAGGGCGTGACTCACTTTTTTCACTTTGATGAACTCCATTATACATCCCTATGGGAAAACGGCACAGAAAAGGTACCTTTAATGTAGGTGGGAGAAAAGTGAAGGAAATTCTTATTCACCAGCTGTGATTACCAAGTCTCAGAACAAACTGAAACACTGGGGCAGGGTTTAGCTATTGCATTTGGAAAGTATCATCTACCAAACAAAGCAGGTAAACTCTTCAACCAAACAGCCTGGTTTATCACTCTAAGGACACCCCTGCCTAAACAGGTAGAAAATGGTTTTGCACACCGTTTACATAAGAAGATAGCAAAGTTGAATGCATAAAAATATACAGCCACTGCTAATGCATGCTGGCCTAAGTGACTGTATTGGAGAAAAACGCTTGGAGCTGAAAGGAAAGCATGATCTGAAGCGTTGGCATGTCTCCGTGTGGAACCACTGCCTCTAACATACCTTGCACCATTCATTTAAGGTGTAAACTTAGACACAACTACACTTGCACACAGACAAAGCCACAGAATACACTCCAAAGACCACCGGATGTGCTAATAACAACTGCTATCATAGAATCATAGAATAGTTAGGGTTGGAAAGGACCTTAAGATCATCTAGTTCCAACCCCCCTGCCTAGCAAATGGTTACAGTGAGAATCCAAAATGAATCGTTGCATCGTTTCTATGCAGGTTTCCCCAAGAAACTTTCCACTCCCAAACCAGACAGAAAATATGTTTTGACCATTCTCCCAGTTAAATTAATCATATTCAATTACCACCCCCGTTTGGACTAGACAAAACCAAGCCTGGAAGTAATAATCACAGAGAAGCCAAACTGGGTTTAGTGTGAGGTTCCTCCCAGCCAGCAAATGCCAGAACAGAGGAAAGACAAATTAGAAAGAGAGATCCCACGTTCAGTTTTCTACCCAAAGTGTGGGAAATGCCTTCGTATTCTCATAATGCATTGTTATTAAATTGTTTAGCAACAAGTACTTAATAAACTCTAAATTGAGAATCCAGTGTACTGCTGCCAAGAGGCAGATTTGAATAGTCAATCTTTTAAGGGTTAACTGCTTTAGTTAGAATTTTCACCCCTCTTTAGGGGGCTGGGAAAACACTCATACAGTGGTAATAGTAAAGTCCTTGCTGAAGAAACCAGAACTACAAGTGAAATACCAGACAAACACAAGCAGATTAGCACCTCGCTGGTATGCTCAGAGATTACAGCATGTCAACTGTCATTAGCACATTTAAGTCAGAAGAACATAAATACCTTCTCTTCACTGCTGTTTGTTAAACAATGAAGGTTCATCTGTTTTCCCAAGTCCCTGCACTGACTGAAAGCTCAGGGGACGTGACACACATCTTGCCATCAACCTCAGGGGACTGTCAGTGAGATGTGACACAGCAACCTAGGCCAAAACATGCATTCCTGGAACACACAAGTGGTAAGTCTGAAGAAAACACACAAACTTTTCCAGGCATTTTTCTGAATGGAATCACAGTTTAAAGATAAAGACAGGCTGAGAACACTGGGGCTGTTCAGCCTGGAGAAGGGAAGCTGCGTGGAGACCTCAGAGCAGCTTCCAGGGTCTGAAGGGGGCTACAGGGGTGCTGGGGAGGGACTCTTCACCAGGGACTGCAGCAACAGGACAAGGGGTGATGGGTTCAAACTGAAACAGGGCAAGTTCAGGTTAGATCTAAAGCAGAAGCTCTTCCCTGTGAGGAGGGTGCCGAGGTGCTGGCACAGCGTGCCCAAGGAACTGGTAAATTCCCTATCCCTGGCAGTGTTCAAGGCCAGGCTGGACAGAGCCTTCAGGGGCATGGTCTGGAGTGAGGTGTCCCTGCCTGTGGCAGGAGGTTGGAACTGGATGATCTTAAGATCCTTTCCAACCCAAAGCATTCTATCATTCTATGATTCTATTTGAACTTTCTGCTTCTGATGCTCCTCATTTCCCCTCTCTGTCCTGTTCCCCTGTGGACCACACTAGCTAGGCTATACCACATTCCATCATGAAGCTGGTAATGTTCCTTTCCACGTTTACAACGCTTGGACTTTGCTATTTTAATGGATTTTCCCAAAGGTTCTCAGCAGCACAAACCGAGCTCTCTTTAGCCTGTATTTCCCGAGCCATTCCAAGAACATCCATCTCAACGGATGGGAAAACAAACTATCCTTTTAGTTTTAATTCCCCTCTCTCAGTAGCAGTAATTAACAACACTTCTGCAACTTGGCGTTTTTTATATATATATATGCGTGTGTGTGTGTATATATATGTTCTTTAAATATTCATACTATTGTGGGAGGCAACAAAACTTCTTTGGCAATCTGGTTTCCAGGTCCTTGAAAACGAATAATCCCTATATGACTTAATCATTTTAGCAAGTCCTATATTGTAATTATCAGAGTATCTTCACGCTCCAACAGCACCTTTTTGGCCTCTAATAGGTCTCCACATACACTAATGCTC